GAAATTTTGAGTATTTTTTTATATAATTTTTTAGGTTTAAATATTCTGTTGATCTATGTAAGTTAGCGAGTTTTTGATTTTGATTTGAAAGTTAAGATTTCGAGCTTAAACAGTGGATAACCTTCTCTTTATGAGGGAGTCTTTCAGGATCGATTCAAAGGGCCAGTAAAAGTACGCGGACGGAGAAATTCAACAAAACCACACCGTACCGGGTCAGTAGACCTTCTTTATCTTAAAGGCTGTCTCCTGCCCCCAACTAGTGAGCATTCTGGGATGAAGGAATAATCGATCTTCCCCACATCGACTCTCACTCAACCGGTGGAACAACTTCCGAAACAGCGAGAGAAGCCAGAAAAGCGGAACTCAGGGAGCCCTCAGAACCTCAACTAAAGCTGCCGCATTTTTTCCTTCTTCTTTTGCTACCGGGGATGTGCTCCTAAACTTGGACTAGACTTGCTATTATCAAATAAAAAAGGTCTCTGTCTTTTTTATTTTGATCACTGTAAATTTTTTTTTTAGTCTGAGTCTCTATATCTCACCTTTTGCGTACAGTTTTGTTTCTAAAACTAAAATCTACATCTTTCTTTTGAATTTTTTTGCTAAATTTTCCTTCGAATTTTGACTTCAAAGATTAAAACGCATGTAAAAAGTAGGATATACGGACTCAGACAAAAAATAATTTAAAAAAATTAAAATCTAAAATTCACTAATTTAGAAAGGATCAAAGGTGCATTTAACTCACTTTTTAAATTGCATTCTTGGAATATCTTCTTAGAGATAGTTAGAATTTTTTAATATAAAATGATCCATTTGCAAATATACAAAATTTGTGTATAGTGATGAAAATTATAATTCATTTTAATGAAATTTCATGCGGATTTATACATGAATAGTTTTTATTGGCCGACATCAACAAGATAATGATATTCTACAAATCGTTGACAGAGTTCAACTCTATAATAGCACCTATGGATTCCAAGTATTTTTGTTTTGATATTTCTATAGTCAAATAAGAGATTAAACATCTCAGAAAAAAATCAATAGAAGATTTAAACAATTTGCAGGGGCACGTGAACAAGAAAAATATAATTGGATTTTTGTGGAATTTTGCTATGTGATGTGATTAGTATTTTGTAGTCATGTGGGTAAACACATTACCAAGATAGTGATATATACTACTTTATTGTGAATTATTCCTACCAATTATTAATTCATACAGTACTATATAATATAACAATGGTATTTGAATTATTATATATCGAATATTCATTTAGCATTTCAATCACATCTTCAATCTATCACGTCACTCACTCTGCATGCATGCAGGACTGTCCATCATTTTTTTTCTTTTTAAGATATTTTTACTGATTATTAGATTGATGGAATATAATAAAAAGATGGAGTAGATTAGTCATTAGTTTAATCAGAAAGTATAACATACATTCATTTTTTATATATAAAATTGTCAAAAAAACATAAATAAAAATCTATTTATCATGTTATACCTACAGCACTTTAACGTAGGTATAATAAATTATATGTTAAAACTAGATTTTTATCTACAGTAAAGTGCTGTAGATATAAATATTTCAGGTTAAATTTACAGTAATTAGACTTTTACCTACGTTTGTACTTCTACATTGTTGGCATGTCTTTCAAAAATAAAATTAGTACTTTTGTTGAGGAAAATATAAGGAGTAAAGTTTTTTTTTTTTACATTAACCAAAATTTAATTAATGTAAGATATTCATTTATTGTGTTATATTTATGTATTGTGTTATAGCATGTTTATTAGATAGGCTGGAGCATTCTGAATTATATTTTAATAGGTTTGAATTTAATGAAAACAAATATTTTTCTGGATCAGAGCCTGTGTGTTTGTTAGCAATTTGACAATGTTAGTTAATGACTCTTCACTTCAAGATATTAAGATTTACAAGGATCTAAAATAGGAGGATCCTTTAGCACATTTCCTCTTCCTCCTAATGGCAAAAGACTTAGGGGATTGTTCAAAAGGATCATTGAGATTAAACTTTTCTCAAAATTTAAAGTTGATTCTTATAATTCGGAGACTTCTCAACTTCAGTACAACGATCATATCTTGATCCTAGGAGATTCCTCGATTGCCAATTTTTGGAATATTAAAGAAATTTTGAGTGACTTTAAATTAACTTCGGGCCTTGAAACTAATTTCTTTAAAAGTGGTTTGATTGAGATTAATGTTAATTCTTCCTTCTTAGCCTTAGCAGATGATTTATTTCATTGCAAGATTAAGTTTCTTCCTTTCAATTACTTAAGGTTTCCTGTAGGTGTCAACCCACGGTTGGAGTCTACTTGAGAACTCATACACTACTACAAAAAATACATAATACGACGGCTATTTCACGATGTTTCATTGAAGAATTGTGGTGACATCTTGAAAATCAGATGCCAACATTTTATTTATTTTTTAATTAAAAATAATTTACATTTTACTATGGTTGGATAAAGCAACCGTCAGAAAATCTCGTAAAGTTAATGGATTTGAATCTCAGCACTAACAATTTTGTGATTTCTTTAATATTATAGTGGTGTCTTTCGTTTTAATTTATTTTTAAACTAAATATAAGTCAGATGTCACCAGGATCGGGAATGCCAATCGTAGTGATATATATGTTTTCATTTTTTAATTTATAATTTTAAAAAAATTGGCAGTTCGATGAAATTAAATTAAATTAATGGGATATCACTACGGTTGGATTATTCAATCGTAGTGAAATGTTATATTCTTATTCAAGAAACTTAGCTTACGTTGACATGTCTATTCAGTTTTTATTGTGTTACGAAACACACACTCAACGCTTAGAAAAACCATTTGTACCCTAACAAAACTTTAATTTATATTAATGAAGTGAACCCTAAACATGTTTCATCTTCAACTTGTTTACCATTGTGGCATCTCCATTTCTTTACTATCATATATCTTCATCATTAGTAAATGTGGAGAAAAAAATTATACATCAGTATCACTTCAGGTTATACAAGGCAACAAAATACGAAGGTGGGACACGAGTGATACTTGCAAGAATGAAGGACGATACTCATATCATTTATCCCTTTGACTTCTTCATCACGTTTTTGTTACGTAAAATACCACTACCATGCATGTATAGTATTGTTGTTGAGATATATTGTGATTATATTGTTGTTGTTGATGTTTAGTACCTAAATCTTAAAGGTTTAATTATTATATTTTATGTGAATGTTAATGAAGGTTTACCTTTTTTTTTTGTTGAGATGTATTGTGATGATGATGTTTAATATATGTTTATTATTTTTGTTGATATTATTGTGTAAAATGATGGTTAAGTTTAGTGTTGTTGTTGTTATTGAGTTATTGGTGGTTATGGTGTTTTGTTGAGATATGTTGTGATTATATTGTTGTTGTTGTTGTTGTTGTTGATGATGATGATGATGATGTTTAATGATAGGTTTATTTTTGTTGTTGTTATTATTGAGTAAAATGATGGTTCAATTTCATGTTGTTGTTATTATTGAGTTATTGATAGTTAAGTTGTTTTGTTGAGATAAGTTGTGATTGTATTGTTTTGTTGAGGTATGTTGTGATTATTTTGTTGTTGTTGATGTTTAATGATATGGCTATGTTGTTGTTGTTGTTGAGTTATTGACGTTATGTTGTTGTTGCTGTTGAAATTGATTTAATGTGTTGCTGTTTTGAATATAGATGGGCTATTCATCTAGCGACGACACTCATACAAATGAATGTTCTACTCTTGAGTGGAAAAAAGTTAGAGGTGATACAATGATGTCTAGATTAACAATAGTCCGCAACTTGGGTGTCAAATCTCTGATCGAATTTAATCAAAAAAATTGGACTTGTTATAGCATGAATGTTTCCATTTTAAGAGTTATATCGCATTTTAAAACTGGCTCTGTTACCCACGAAAACTTAAATTTATTCACGAATAATCTGCGAGTAAGTTTATAGAAATCTTTTTAAAAAGTTTTGCAATATGTATATAATTTTACAGAAAATTACAGTCATCTTTTCTAATATCTGTTAAAATGAAATTGACATATTTCTGTTCTAAGCTTATATATATGTATGGATGATATTAGTGACAGACAAAAAACTGTAGACAAATGTCATATGTATTTACGGTTTTTTATTGTCACGGAAAACTAGAGAGTATTAATGTCAATTTAATATATCTCAAGAAATATTACCGCATGTTTTAAAATTAGAGGGAGTGTCACTATCATTTTAATAAATCTCATGGGAGGTGAGTGTAATTCACCCATTATTTTACCCACAAAAATTTAAGTTTACCAACAGATAAGCCATTGGTAAATTTATCAAAAATTTTGTTAAGTATTTCGAGAAATATGTATAAGAGTAGAAAGAATAAATTTGATATTTTTTATATTTTGTTGAGATAAAGATATAATTGTAACTTGTAAGGGTATAAGACACAATCTTCTTATAAAAAAGATGGAGTGAATTAGTCATTATTTTTTTAGGAACTCACAATTTCATTTTTAAAATTTTAAAACGTTCCTCGATTATATTTTATTGTTAGATATCATGATCATGACACAATAAATAACGATGTAATAAATTATTTAACGTGTATATATATATCATGTCCTCGATCGATTGGATTTATAAGAATGAAATGTCGAAGAGCCTTTTAGATCTAAAATACATGACACACATTAGAATTGTTTGCCCATTTTACACGTTTTGTGTTAAAGAATCAACAATTGTTTATCATTTACACACAAATAAATGTGTTGATATGTGATAATTAGAAAATCCAAAATAATTAAACATTCACTCTTATTAGACAATTTGATACCACACAATTCCTGCATGGTTTATACATGATAGGAAAAGATACACAACATGAGCTTCAATACAATACACATAATCATAAAATGCAAATAAACTTCAACAGAAACACCATCAAAATACCTTAAACAATAGCCAATGGAATTGTTTATGGCTTAGGCACACTTGGAATAGTAGGCAATGGAATTGTTGGCAATGTAGGGAGAGTAGCTACTGTTGGCAGAGTAGGAAGTGTTGCTACAGTTGGCAAAGTAGGAAGAGTAGGAAGTGTTGGCAAATCAACTTTGGAAATTTCATGTATGCTTTGAAGGTTACGTGCTCCTTCAACATTTGTGATTGATGAAAAAGTTATGAGTAGAAGAAGTGGTATCATGAAAGATAAAACATTGATGGAAGCCATTTTTTTGAAACTAGAAAGCTTAGTAATATATCTTTGTGATGATAGTTTTGGTGTGATTGAGTTTATGTGTGTGTGTTGGCCTTTTATAGACAAAGTTTTTCGTAGCATGTGACGAGGATAAGTATTGTGTGGTTTAGTAGTCATTTTCTTTGACTAGTTTAATCTCTCACATATATGTATTCAAGTATATTTAATGAAATGTATTTGGAAATATTTTAGGCATGAGTATAATAAAATATAGATTTTAATATTTATAAAATTTTATTATTTGGATCATTTTCAGTTACATATGTTAAAATCTTACAAAAGTAACCAAAATTTTTAATTTTAATACTAAACTAATCCATATTTCTACATATTTCTCAATATAATTATGTTTTAAAAAAAATTAAAGAGAATGCATTAATTTTTTTCCAAGTCGTTATTACATGTGAATTTCACTGCAGTTTCATCTGCGGAGTTTTTTTTATCTTTTGCCTGTGAGTAAATCTGTAGGTAAAATCTGCAGTAATATCAAATCTGCTGGAAAATTTACAGGTAATTGAAAAAAATTAAAAATGAACATAAAAAACGGCAATCGGATTGAGGCTTTTCCTTTAACTCTTTTTCTTTTGAAACTAGTAATATTAAAAATTATGTGAAAAGATCGGATAGTTTAATATTAAAATTAAAAAACTTGATTATTTTTTATAACATTTCTACGCATGTAGATAATGTTAAAATTTCAACTATTGTTATAAAAGTTTATCTTTTAATTAATATTAAAGTTTAATTGTAATTTTAATCCTCTTAATTTCTCTTTTTTTTTAATGTTTTAATCTCTCAATTTTAAAAATTACGATTTTGATTTTTTTTTTAAATTTTTGTATTGAATTTTAATCCTTAAAAGTTTTTAAAATGAGAATCAAAATCCAAAAAAAGTAAAATAAAGGACCAAAGTTACAATTAAATCAAATATTAATTAAATATTTAGTTTTTAAATTTATTAATTAATTAAAAAATACTAATTAAAATTTTAAATTTGTTATATAATTAATATATTTGATCTATTTATTAGTCTAAATACATTTTTTAATAAGATCTCATGAAATAAATATAAAAGTGAGGCCAAAGATTAAAAAAAAGTAGAGCTATGTTAGTTGCATAAAAAAGAATAAAATTTTTTTACAAAATCATTTCTAATTTATATAAGAATGAAATAAATAAATAAATAAATAAATAACTATAGAGGAATTCATGCTAAGAGCTATATTTACAAGGAAGTAAACACAAGAATTCTTTTTTATCTACAAATATGTGTTATAATGATGTTAGAGTTGATAAATTTATCTAAATAGATTTTTCAATTGTTTTTAAGCCTTTAAGAGATCAAAAGAAGGTTGTAGAAGCTTTGACGACTATTAAACAATGTTTTTCAATCTAAAGTATATTCCAACAATTTAATGACTATAGAAACCTCTGGGGAAAAAAGGATTTAGGTGTAATCTTTTCAGCGAAACTCAAAATGAAATCAGCCTTGTGAGTTTCAAAAAAATCTCACTAGAGCACCTGTAATATTAGTAATTGCATTGAAAGTCCCTTCATAGTTGCATTTTATTCACCTCGAGATGGGGGGAATCCAAAGAACGTCCTTGATATTAGGGGCTCTAAGTGGTTGAATATTCGAGGACCAAACCGGCATTGGATGTATCCATCTCCAAGCTCATAGATTCAACAACCTTTTTCTGTTTAGTCATTTCTGATAAGTGAGATCCCCAATATTCCTTTTGATTGTTCATCTCTGACAACCGTTTGTTTAACTCCTCAACTTTATCAGTTAAAACCTTTAAGTCGGTGTTCATCTGAGTCATCTCCTTAGAAAGACGAGTCTCATTTTTCTCATGAGCATCGCTCACTTCGAATAAATTTTGAGTCATCAATGCACATGTCATCAAATAGGCCCCAAGATTATGGGTTAATTGTTTAGAACTAATAGATTTTACCTTCTCAGCGTCTCATTTTCATTTAGATGATCATAGAGATACCTCATTCTGTCAAAGTTGTTGGACTAGAATTTGAATTTAGAGGAGGGTTTAGATTGGTGTCTACTATTTAAATATTGCATAAGGGTGGTAATAGTCAAATTAGCTTGACTGACATCATCACTAATCAGAGTCTTCATTTTCTTGGGAGAATGGGGCTTTGGATATTCCGGAGTAGAAGTGATGGTCAGCTATGACTCTGATATGGCAGGAATCACTTTAATAACTGATGCGTCCGCAAGTGCACGAAAATATCGAAGTAATATAAAAGATTGTCGAACCCACAGAGACCAATGTCAACCTACCGTTATCTATTGCTACGGTGTAAAGCTAAGGCTAATGGAATTAGGAAAGTTAAATGCGGATGAAACTAAATTTAAAGGAACTAAAGATTTTTGGTTTAAAGAAATGCGGTAAAGGGATATCGGTATGCGAGGACTTAGTTATTAGGGATTCGACAGGTCACCGGTGCTTTTTAATCTTTGCAAACACTTTTCAGGAGAAAATACTCGTTTAAAGACCTTTGCCTCACGATGGTTGTTGAGTCGGGTCATAATTCTAAGGCGGAATGTACGCTTTCGCAGTCCCATTCGGGGTTAAAACTACTCTTTGAAAACAAATAAATTCTAATTTCTTTTAAAGCGCTTTCGCTGTATTTAAAACAAATGCGTAGTTGTTACTATCTGGTCCTAGCCTCAGCTTTCGCGTGTCGGTTCATACCTTAATGAATCTCCCATTGTCGTGGTGAAACTACCATAAATACTTTTTCGCTGTCGCGATGAAGGTTTATTTAGAAATTACAATTAAAAACTACGGCCAAAAAGGTAGTTTGTAAGAAGGTAAGGTGCACTGGGTATTATCGAATCTCATCCTACTAATTCGGTTACATACCGATAAAACTAATTTAGCTAGACATGATAATTAATGCAAACATAAATAAACAATAGCAGTAGAATAATATAACACGCATACTGACAGAAATAAAATAATAATTCAATTAATAAAAACCGGTAAATCGTACTGATCTCGAATCCTTGAGTAGTCCTCCACAATGTCGGCAGGATTCTACTTTGGCGAGAATTAAAAGGTACAGGAAGAAAATACAATGTTCTGAACTAAAGAAAAATGGAAAGGAAATAAAAGAAAACAATAAAACTGGGAGAAAATAGCTTCGGTAGAAATCTTGGCAGCACTTCGATACCTCGAAGCCTCCCCTCTAAACTCTGAATCTAAGGCCTATTTATAGGAGATAATTCATTCTTCAACTTCCAGAGATCATGGGTGAGTTATGGAGGGAGTGGGGGTAACTTCCAGTAGTGGGCAGTGAGTGGAGAAAGTGTAGGAAGAAATCTTAGAGAGAGTGATCGTGGCAAAAACTGATTTGAACGTTAAATGATATTTCGTCTGCGTGACGCTCGTAATGGAACGTGACGGTCATCATACGCATGACGTTCGTAATGGACCTATGACGACCGTCATATCAGCAAAATCCATTTTTTCTGTTTTTCTTCTCTCTTTTCCTTCCATTTCTTCTTCTTTTCTTTCTTTAATCCAAATTCTCCCCAATCTGCAAAACGAAGTAAATTAATCATATAATAGAACATAAATCAAGATAAATTAATAATAGTCACAAATAAATGCATGTAAATCAAGCCAAATAAACGATATGATTTCGCGTTATCAGTAACGTCTAGTTTCTTTCTTTTGAGAGTCCGAACCTGAATTCTCGAGAGGTCACTTTTGGAAGTAGATTGGTCTCCACGCCTCGCCCTAGCTTCGACCATCAACTTCTTTTGTTATGAGAGTTTGAGGTTCGTCATCTTAGGTGGAATAAAAGAGACTAAGCCAATAAAAAGGTGACCAAAGATATAATATCAATGTGATAAATAAACATGTGTACATTACCCTAAAAATTCCAAATTTGTTCAGGATCATCAACCATCTATAAAAGATCTTTTACTTTCACTGCTTAGAAAGCGTCTAACACAACTAAGGACTGAAGCTCCAGGTCATTTAATTTGTCTTAATCAAAACTAGAGATAATTAAAGGGTTGTCCGACCAATAGATTGGGTAACGATAACTCTCGTCCAAGGCATACATTATTTTGGGACATCTTTTTCCACTCTTAACTTGAAGGAATTTGTCTTTAAATCCCTTATAAGTTAGTAGTATATGATGTAAGAAGCTCTTGTCTAGAATACGGCTGAGAGAAACTCAACCTTTTTTCTCTGGACCTTTTAACTCAAAAAACAAAAAGAATAAACCTATGGTCAGCACTATGTCTACAATATCACAAACGGTCTCGAAAGCCTTGATAAAGCTCCAATCATTGGGGCGTAGTTGGGAAGGAGTTATGTTTAAGGTTTTAAGGAGATCAACCTTACAGTCAGTAAAGGGAATGGATATTTTAAAGTCTTTAATGACTCCTGAATAAAAATAAATTTTTTCCAACACTCCTTTGGAACGAATCGATTAAAGAGCTTGTGAGGAAGATTGCGCTCTATTCAAATAACCCTCACACTCTCGCATACATGCATTTCAAATCCTATTCATATCACTGGCATTGAGGATAAATGAACATGAAGATATAATAATAATAAAAATAGAAAAAAATAATACCTTGAGTCTGAGAAGAGAAATACGAATCAATTAAAGGGCTTGAGAGGAAGATTACCTAGAAAAGATGTTTTAGACAATAAATTTTCATTGAAATTGAAATTTTCTAAAGAAATTTTATGAGTATTTTCTAATACAAAATTTTTAAAATTGTGTCCTTGAAAAATCTTGTTAGAGATAATTATAATTTTTTAAATATAAAATGATCCATTTGCAAACAGATAATTTTTTTGTATAGTGATGAGAATATCATTAAATGTGATTCCATGTGGATACATGAATATTTTTTATTGGCCGACCTCAATAGAATAATGATATCCTAGAAATCAACTAGTTGCCATAGTTCAGCTTTTATTAAACTA